TACTTAAAGATAAAATTGCTTCAGCTTTAAAACAATTATTTATTATGAATAAAAAGCTACATTTCCTTCTTCTAATATAATATATTAAAATTTAGAAGATTTTTAGAATAATCTTATTTTTATAGCTAATAAGTGATATTAAATATAAATTTTCACAAAGACATGCTCCAACAGACTTGGCGATGATTCAAAATGTGTATTGACATAAAATACTTGACATTCGTATATTATGTATAAATAATCACTAAATTGAAATCATCTTTTAAATAATGGCTTCTTCTTAAAAAGAATCAATAATTGCAAAAAAATTATTTATTATAGATCTCCTAATTGATTTCAACTGTTGAAAAATAATTTGAATGAAAAGCTAGAAAGTGAAGTTTTTTATTTGCTTCCATTTTTTATAATAGTATACCTAAGCCAAAGTTTGATGTATTTATTTTCATAAAAAATGTCTTAAAAAATTTGATGTAATATAAGATTGATGTAGAAATAAAAGATATCTTCAAATCTTTAAATAATGCTTCAAATTTTTTATTTGTTTCAATTTTTTTCTTAAGAATCAAGAATATAAGTAGAATAGCAACTTAAAAAAAAAAAAAAAAAAAAAAAAAAAAAAAAAAAAAAACTTGATAACAATATAATAGTAATCGACAAATTCAAAAAATATCAAACGTCTCTTATAGTTCTTGAAATCTTTCAATCTATGATAGTCTAAACTTTCTTAAGATCTATCATAAGGCCATCATTTAAGATAATGTATCCTAAATAATCAACTTGAATTAAATAAAATATACAATTTTTTTATTTTAACATATAATCTTATATTATTAAGTTTTTATAATATGCAAAAAATATGAAGTTCATACTCTTTCATATTCTTAGATTAAATTATAATATTTTTTAGCTAAAAATGACAATATTATCTAAAAACTCTAAAAAAAACATCATTTTTAAGAAGCAACCAATGAATTTATAATTCCAAAAGATATGATATTATATTTAAAATATTTATATATGATTTGAAGTACAATCTTTTATTCATATTATTTTTTAATATATATTAGATTATAAACTATTTCTAGATCTATTTTTGAATAAATTTTGATTTGATTAAATTAATTAAAAGTCTAAATATTGAAAATTGATGATACTTATTTTTTATGATAATCTTATTGTGCCCTTAATAATCCACACATATCTACAATGGTCCATATTTTTCCTTCACAAATGAGATAGAAGTTCTTGTTGGAGATTTTGAATGGCAAATGAAGTTTTTTCTAGGTTCTTATTTATGTATAGTTTGAATTTAACCAAATTATTTTGTGATAAATTGTATATTGATTCAAAAGTTGGTTATTTTTTAAAAAAAATATCATTTGAAGAAACATAAGAACATTTCTTTGAAAAAATATTTTTATTCTACTTTTTAAAAATATCCTGATAATCTTGATTATACCTTAAAATATAACTCAAAATCTTTCAACTATTAAAAATATATATAACATAAATAATAAAAAGTAATCCTTCTTTTATACTATATATAAAAGCTTTTACATTTAAAAATAAGAATTTGGTTGTATTAGACTTATAGCTTTCTATTAAATTAAAAAAATCTTTTAATTATGCTTTAAAAAAATCAAGACTACCAAAAAACCAATCTGTTAATAAATTTATTTTTGATAAAATATATATCTATTTATTCTTTTAATCACAATAAATCTAAAATAACTAGATTTAAAAAAAAATCTAATAGTATTGAATATTATTAAGCTATTATGACTATTTATTATTATATTTATAAAAATATTTTATGGATAATATTTGTAAGAAACAAAAAATGATAATTTATGATATTTAAGTGGATAACTTTAGTTTTATTTATTAATGGTATTATATATCTTTTAATAGATCCTTCATCTACAATATAAGTTGAGGCTTTTAAATCTAGCAAGGTAGAAGCTTTGTAATTTTTAGTTCTTAAATAAATATTTATTATAAAATAAAAAGAATATTTTGAAAAAAAAATATGACCTTTATTAGATATTGTACAAGATTAATGCCCACATATCTCTATTCTAGTTGGGATTTATTTTTTCATATATTATCTTTTTTGACATCCATGCTCTTTATTTTGTAGTTGTGTTACTTTAATGGAGAATTTTGAGTAATATACTTAGGTTCTCTACAATATTAACACAACCCTTCTTTACAACATTGTTGTATTATAATGCAGCTAATAAATAAAATATATATATATATATATATATATATATATATATATATATATTATAAAATATCTTATTTTAAAATATAGCAACATATTATCTTAAAAATATAGATTATAGTCAAAGAGGTAGTAAAACTAATAAGTACTAAAGTTGCCTTTCAATAAAATAAATCTCTATTTACTTTATAGAACTATAAAAAAGACAAAATAAGATTGATTATCAACATTGGCATTGGAAACATCTTATGGTAGAAATAAATAATAGATTTTAATAAATATTACCTACAAAAACTAGATGTGAGACTTGGAGAAGATTGATTAAGAACATGGATCAAAATCAGACCTTAAGGCATAAAATTGCACCCTTAAGATGTAAATAAAACTATTTTCTTCATTGAATTGCTAAATTAGATAGGAATCTTGCTAAGATTTAGTTGAACATTGATTTTGAGTAATTTGGTTATATATTGAATTTTTTAGAGCTTTTCAAAATAAGTGTTGTTTTAAGTATTTTTGGTTTTTAAAACATAAAAGAAAATTTATAATCTTAAAAATTTTGTATGCATTTTAGTTTATTGACACTTAAAAGTTTGTACACTTGTAATCTACTTATGTTAGATTTGTAATGTAAATTTGAACTTAATTTAATGATTAGATCAAGGCTTATCAAAATCCAATTTGATTAGAATCTTGGAATTTGGAATTTAAGAATGAATAGGGGTTTCTTTAATCTTAAGTAAATTGTATGTTGGATTGAAGCAAATTTTTGTGAATAAACTATGAACTTAGTTTTTAACAATATTTTTAATTTTGAATGTAAGTGAATCTAATATCATGAAATGCACTTCATAATAAAGAATTATTACTACTAGAAGATCAAGATTAATATTCAAGAAGGAAGTCAACCAATACCTAAATAATTAAAAAAATATATCTTTTAATTCATAAATTGGATTTCTTTTTTATAATTATTATGGTTTTTTTTTCAATTATTAAATTACAATTTATATAAAATTTTAATGAAGATAAAAAATTTTAATCAATAGTTATTAAGGTTTTAAGACTATCATAAATTTGGTTAGGTTTTAAATAAGATTTCATCAAGATTTGTAAAATAATTTCAAGAATTTATTATAATTTTGTAGAATTCTTTTAGAATTAAATTAAGATTTTGTTAAAATTTATTCATGATTTTTTAGAATCTACTTGGGATCTTATTAGGATTATTAAGATTTATTAAGAATTTGCTTAGAATTTACTAAAGATTTGGTTCAATTATTTTTAAGATTTACTTAAATAATCTTTAGGATTTTTTTATAATGCCTTCAAAATTTTAGTTTTTAAAAAGTTCTTTAGGATTTACATAAATATGTATATAATTCATTAATTGGAGTTATTTTTATTTAAAATTGATAATATTACAAAATTTATGTTTTTGATTTTATTAAAATCATAATCTAAATTAATATAAATTTAATTGTATACATTATTTTGTTATCATATTATGATTTGTATTATAACTATATATATATATATATATATAATATAATATTTAAAGTACTAAATAAATTCTATTAAAAAAATTGGCACATCATAAAATGTACTTCATATTACATGATTCTACTCTACCATTCACAAAATAATTGTCAAAAATTCAAATATATATCAATATATATGTATATATATATATATATAGTATATATATTTTAATATAATATGTTTACATATCAAAAAAATTAAAATCAAAATAAATATCATACATTTATATTATTTATTATATATACTCATTAAATATTATAATATAAAAATAAAATAAAACCAAAACTAAATTAATCTAAATATATATTATACAAAAATATTAAAATATATTGAAATCTAAATTTAAAAATTTGACATAGATTATATCAATAAGTTTTGAAAGTAATGCATATTAAAAAGCATTATACAAATCTACCTTAAAGTTTGCAACAAAATATTAAAATATAATGTAGATTAACCATAATACTTTCATAATTTCTATATTATATTCCTAATTTTCTAACCACACATGACAACTTAAAGTTGGATCTTTTAAATATTATTTAATTTAATACAACTAAATTTATTTTTAAATAAATGAATATGTAGAAATGGCAAAAGAAATAATACACATAAATTTAAAATCAACATTTAATTATAAAACCTACATTTTAATTTAGACATGTATGTAGTTACATTCTTATTGCATTTAAAATTTTATTACCACTACAAAACAAACTTTTAAATTCACTATTATTTAATTTATAAATTCTAATACTAAATAAAAAACCCTTAAAAACTCCAATTGAATTCAATCAAAATTCAACTTTAATAACTATAAATTCATTTTGTTTCAATAGTACAATAATAAACAAACAAACAAGCAAATACAAAGTATAACATGTTATTTCTATATATCAAAATTCCACTACTAGCCAAAAAAATTAATTAAATAATTTAATTTGATTTGATTAATTTCTATACAAAGAAATTTTACTTTGTAAAAATACAATGATATTTCTTAAAGCCTACCCACTAAAAAGATGTCCCATTGGAAAACAATCAAACAATAAAAAGATGAGAAAACAAAACTTATATATATATCTATATATATATATATATATATATATAGATATGAAGTATTTTTTTGAATAATCAATTTTAAAATGTTTTTTCAAAAAGCACCAAACTTTAGTAAAAAAAATATAATTATTTTTAATCTAATATAATCAATTACTTCATATGAAGCCTATTTAAAATACCACTTTTACATTCAATTTCTATATAAAAAACATTTTATATTTCCTACTTGTATATAACAACAATGCATATAATAAGCAAGAGTAGTTGCTTTAGGATAAGAAAAACCTTCCAAAAGCTCCATTGAAGATTGATAAATAACTATTGCAAAGCTCCTCAGCAATATGAATTGGGAAGTTTGTAGCCAAAGATAGAATGCTTAAACCTAACCCACAATGGAGCAATGCCTAGTTACAAATGGACGCTCAACAAACCGCTGTACAAGTCCAACAAAAACGTGATGCATTAAGATTACAACGGGATTAGCAGGTAAAGTTATCACCACACATGACAAACGCAGATGGGAGACATCAAGATTGACCACGACCTTGACAATGATTTAAAGAATGCTACAAAGACGGACATATTCACTACTCTTCACAAAGAATTCAAAGAGGTAGAAAAACCTGCAAATTAGCGTTGTGAAGGTCACAAATTTTGGGCTTCTTCCCTGGCCTTCACCGCACCCAGGCCACGCCCTACCCTCGGAGTCCACGAAACTTGTATCTATCTGAACACTTACCAGAGAATGATGTGTGCACGACACCTATGAGAATCAAATCAAATGCCTGTGCTGGAATGTTTACAGCTGCTACGAGGTCGATCTGCTGGAAACCCTTATCTTGCCCTAACTGGAGGTCACCAATTCCCACTCACGCCCTTACGAGCAAAACGACCCCGTAGCAGCTTCAAACGCGCCACCCTTTCACCTCTCCCTTGCATTTGATGACTCTGGTGAACACACCCCAAAAGAACCTGAAATTTTCCCAGTTACTAGCACAGCCTGATGGCCACATGACACTTCGGTAAGTAAAGGGTTATCGTTTACGACTTCATACCAAAAACTGACTTCCAACCGCTACACTTGCTACCGCACTCCAGTCCACCACAAACAGAGAATGACTCCTTGAACCCGCCTTGGAATGACTCCAAAAACTAGGGTTGCGGACAGTTAAATGCCTTCAGAAAAAGAAAAAAAGAAGAAAAGAAACCAGTAAAAGAAGGCGTGCGACTTGAGGAGGAGGAGGACAACTAGCATTGAATTGGCGACAGAAAAAGGCAATGTCAGCGGACGAATGTCAGCTGACTAGCCACATCGAAGACAGAGAGCAGAGGGAGAAATGATCTGGTTGCAGATCCTTACAAAGCCAGGGGGGAACATCCACAGGCTTTGATGCATCGCCCTCATGTACAAAATCCACCGTAGCAGCCTACGGAGCTAATGTACGAGGTGGGTGCGGGAAGGGATAAGGAAGGGTGGAATGAACTTGTCCAAACACGAGAGTAATGAATGGCAGCAACGCGGGAGCCATGGGCAAGTTCCACATTCGGCAAATAGAGTTTGACTTCGGTGCCGCTGCTCCTTTATTGCAGTGCGGTGCCTGTGGTGTCTGTCAGGCGTAGGCAACACCGCGGGTAACGGCAAGGGCTGGTTTACCCCGGGGGAATGAATGGGTGCGCTTGTCCGTTTGTCTGACTGTGTCTCTGTTAGTCTCTCTCACTCTCTCACCCTTTCTTTCACACGAGTTTTCATGCTCGCCTACCCACTAGCCCAACGTGTTCTCTCTCCCTTGAGCTTCTTCATCGTTCATTTCCGTCCATAGCCAGTGCAGGATGGCTCGCATTCATCTCCTGGTTATGTCATTCTGAAACCCAAGTTGAGAAAAGACTGCAACTTTACTCGTGCATAATACTAATGACAAAATTATCACTGGGAAGATGTAAATCGTGTTGTTTCTCCCCAAATGGCTGATCATCGTTGGTTTTCATACATTCCAGTGCAGGACAGCTCGCTTTCATCCTTGATTATCTCATATTGAACCCTAGTTTGAGAAGTGAAGGCAAATATATTTGAGTGCAAGACAAACGACAAAATGATTAATGGTGTGATGTAAGAAGGCAGGCAAAGAAAAAAAAAAAAAAAAAAAAAAAAAAATCCAAGAGAATCAATGTTCCCAGATGAAGTCTACAATGTGGGAGATATTTTTAATCTTCTTTCTGAATGTTTCATTTAAAACATTATAAGTCTTAGTTCAAGTATTTAGAAATGCTTTGCCTACGTTTTTAGAGGAAGAATCTCTCGACGGACTCTTTTAGTGGATCTATTTGTCAAATCATTACAAATACCTTTTAAAAACAATTTAAGAACATTTAATAATCAAGCTATTGATTATAGTATTATTACTATATGTGTTTTCTATGGAGCTTTCATTTAAAGCATTTTAGCACGTTTTCTAAATTTCTACAATTTCTGAAAACGTGAAAAGAATTTTAGAATTTTAAACCAAACTTTATAATGTTATGGTCATGACACAAAGTGAAAAGAAAAAAAAAAAAAAAAAAAAAAAAATCATGTCATTCCATCTTAGGTAGTGTTGGTATGATTAGTTGATTTGAAGAGGTACATGTGGAGCAAAGAGGCTAATGTAGTAAATAATTGTGAGAAAGTCAAACCTACTTGTACAAAACATGCCAAAAGAGGCCAATTATGTAACCAAGCACATTGGAACAATAGAAGTCCTAAAGGAGAACCTACTTGAATGCATTTCAATATATATGTTCTTTTCTTTTCAAAACAGATCTAAAGAAGCAACATCAGTTAACCAAACCTACCATCCCCAAGTTACAAATGAAGTGATGACAGATGTACAATACACTTGTAATTGTGCCATTTTCAATTTTTATATATTTCCATTTTTATCTATTTATTACCTATTGATAGCCCTCCATTGGCAACCTTGCAGCAAAGCTTGAATGCTGTTCAACATGATGAGGAAAGAGGGAAGGAAGCACTTTGGATTTACTAGGAACAGAGCTCAAGGCCAAGAATAGCAACTGGGTGTGTCGGGTACTGAGAGATGGCAAAGCAGAGTAGGAGCCAAAACTTTGGGCTTGGTGGGGAGAGGAGTTGGCCCACCATATCACACGGACTAATATAGTTTCTGCGAAATCTCTTTTTACCGCAAAAGGGATGGCGTCGCACTCACAACGTGACGAAACGGGCAAACGAGCCTTCTCGCTTCCTCTCTGCATCTGCTTCTGATTCTTCTTCATTAAAAAAGTATACACATTTAAGGAGGAATATGATTTTTTGGGAGGCAGCTTTTGAGGAGGAGTCGGGCGGCAAGGTAGCCAAGAACCACCCGCGTTGCCAGCGGCGCTGTAGCTAAACGCTAGACGGGGCGAGAGAGAGCGAGGGAGAGGGGGCTCGCCAGAATCCTGGATTCGTCCACGGGTCCCAGTTGAGACTGGTGCTCACTGAGACCCATTGCTGTGGGGGCAGGCGTAGTAGGTCGGGCAGCAGCCTTTTCGGATACAAGTAGTCCCCTATGCGATATCAAATGACTTCTCATCACATGGTTAGTGAGGAGACCATCACAGTAGAGCAAAATGCATGATTTTGGAAGCTAAACAAGCCTACCACGAATGCCTAGTTGGACAATCCTGAGCAACTTGACATTCAAAACGGAAACCGTATGTTCGAAGATTAAACACCACACAACATTTACGGATTTTGAGACCGCATTATGTCAATGTAAGTTGCCAATGCAGTACAAAAACATATCGTGTACAGAAACAGCAGCTCCTTGCAGCACAGAAGCTACACTGCATTGGGGGAACAAAAGGCGGAGGTGAGCGAGGAGGTCTAAGGATTTGGCTAGCGACAATGCTGGCGTTGAGCGAAGCCTCTGTGCCAGCGATAATAATGGAAAAGAACGCATCTGTCGGACCCACTTCGTCTGCCCGAATAGCAATGAGTCCCAAGGTTGGCCAGCATCCCTGGGCTGCCGAGGCTCGCCCAGACCGGGGACGCCCGCGGCCCGTTGTGTGCGAGGGCAGGATTCTGGCTAGCCCGTTGTGTGCGAGGGCAGGCGCCAGGGGAGACGAGGAGGCGGGGCATCTAACTAGAGATCACAAGTATGTGGTTCGCGTCGTACAGAAGCTCAATTGGGAAGCGGCAGGGTGGGCATTTACCCCATTCGGAGGCCCTCCCCCAGGGTCCTGATCTTGGTGAGCATATTTGGTAGTTCATCGTTGTCAGGCATTAGGTGTCGTAACGCGCCGGTGTCGGCAGGTGGGTGGCTGGGGGCCTGCGGTACTGGTGGAGTCTCTTAATGACGACGACTTGCCTTGTATTTGCTAATCAGCTCTCAGCAGGTCTCATCAGCTCCAAGCTCCCCACCCGGCACTCGCTGCCAGACCGTGAGTCAGGAGTAGGGTCAGGGGAGCAGTTGTAGCATCCAAAAAAGGACTGAAGTGGAAGGGATTCGTGTCTGGCAGCGTATCTCTACACGTTCTGGGTTTCTGTTGCTAGATTGAGCTAGCGGCCCACTTTCTTAACCGCTTGTTGCGAGGCTGCTCTTGTAGATCATCCTAGCTTACTATTTGATTTTGAATGGTGCTAGGTTGTGAGAAGCAGACTCGTAAGGTGTAGAGAGCGGGCTATGGACGATGACTGCGTCTGGACAATCCTGCAAGCAGTGGCAGTTCGGGGCTGTACCCAGTACTGCCACGCAAGAGTCATCGAGTGAGATAATTCTGCACGGCGATTGTGAAGTGCCGACCTACTTGTCACTAGGCGTGGCGTGCGGCACTGGAGGGGATTCGACCTATTCGACAGAGTCGCGGTCCAAGGGTCGGGTTATGGGTCGGGGGAAAATTGAGATTAAGAAGATTGAGAATACTACGAGCAGGCAGGTGACGTTCTCCAAGAGGCGAGGAGGGCTTCTGAAGAAAGCGCACGAGCTTGCGGTTCTGTGCGATGCGGAAGTGGCACTTGTTATTTTCTCCAGCACCGGGAAGCTCTTTGAGTATGCCAGCTCAGGCAGGTAGAATCGCTTTGCAATGCCAGTGGACATGTCACAGATGATTGATTTTTGTGTCCGTAGAGACTTGTTGCACTGAGATGTTCGATTTCTGACAATCCGTTCTGCATTTTTTTGGCTTCATTTGGCTGCATATTCTTGTCCTTGCTCCGATTTGAATTCCAGCCATATCAATTTTGTTGTACTGCCCCTCATTGTGCTGTGTTTTGTAGGTACGCATATGTTTCCAGCACTATATTCTTTTTTGCGAACTGAATTTTGAAATCACGCTGTTGAAGTGAGGTGATCGACTTGGAAGAGGAAGTTTGCGTGGGTTCGTTGGCAGTAGAACACTGAAAGCGGGAAACGAATCTCGCAGTTGACATCCTGGTGGATCAGTCGTTAACAAAAACTTTGTAGGGTTTACATGAATTAGGGTTTATGGTTTGGGGGTGAACTGATCCGCAGTATTTTTTGGGCACCCGTCGCATTTTCCCGCCTCTTACATCTCATCTTAGCATTCCAGTTGTTCTGGTCATGTCTTTTTACTTCTTTGTTGTTCATTTGGATTATTTTTATTAATGTGTAGCATTCGAGACATCATCGACCGGTACAAGAAGGGCTCGGATGGAATGCAAAATGGCGCCAGAAATGATGTATGATTTTCTCAACCGGCCTGTTTCCACTTATACACACTGAGTGGCTCATTCATAATTTCATAAACATTTGTGTAACACATGTGTGCAATATGACAGTTCATGGGTTGTGAAGTAGTAAAGTTACGCGAGCAATTGGAGCAACTAAAAGCCTCTCACAGGTATTCTCTTGAATTTCGGCGATGATTTTTCAATTTTTGTACTATTTTTTGAAAAAAGTTTCTCGAGACTTGGGTTTGCATTGCCGGTTGAAATCCTTGCTGGCTTGGATTGAGGGTGACATGCGATACCAAGACTGCAATCTCGCGTGCAGGCACATGCTCGGTGAAGATCTGTCGCTGCTTAAGGTGCCTGATCTATTGCAACTGGAGCAACAACTAGATTTGGGTGCCTCTCGAGTTCGAGCAAGGAAAGCAAGTATCTGAGTCTTCTCTTAAGCAATTTGACCAGAACTGCACTGCTTTCATAACCTTTACAATGTAGATACTTGCAAGAGCGATAGATCCCTTTAGATTCTGTCTACATAAACGTAGAATATTCCTCTTCCACTTGCTTCGAGGATGAAACAAAGTTATCTAGCTAGATAAAAGTCGTCCTAATTGTTTTGGATCATGTTAGGTTCATTCTTGTCGTAACCAAGACCCTAGATTTACCGCGTCTTTGGTTTTCTGGTTGCAGAATCAACTTATATTGGAAGAGGTCGAGTCATTGCGGAGAAAGGTAGGACAACTGGTCTATTATTGTTCCTGATGTCATATGGATGTCGTGGATGGTCTGCTGTTGCCAAAGTGGATCTATTCTTCCTTGTGTACATTGCCGACCTGTAAATTCATTACAATACGGAAACTTATGGCTTTCAGTACGCAGGAGCACGAGCTGCTAATTGCAAATGAGGACCTCCGCCAGAAGGTATTTAGCTGTGGTGTGGATAGGTTTTTGAAACTTTATTTCTGAGGCTTATCCTGGCAAAATACTTATCGTTCTGGTCTTAGTTTGTGTGGTCTATTAGCATCGTCCATAAGGTCCAATCTATATATTAATTGAAACGGGTTAGGTTTTCTGGTGTATTGCTGCAGCTTGCAGATGCTCAAGGGATTGCTGACGCAGTTACAGCTCGAGCGAACGTGTCTGAAAGCCCTAGGCCCTTGACGAGCGCTCTCACACGAGACATCGTTATGAGCTCACAGCAGCAGGAAGTCACTGTGCATCCTCACCCCAACCTTCGAGACGCACAAAGGTCACAGACGTCTTTACAACTGGGGTACGCATTTTCAAACACCGATTCGTGCATCATTACATGTCTCTTTGTACCACATCGTAACCGTCGAGCTGATGTCGTGAAGCACAATCAAGTGATATCTTTTGTGATAATTCCGAAGCATGGTGATGTTCATTTGGTTGATGTGCGAGTATTTTTTCGATTTTGAGCAGCATGTTCTCTTCTGAGTCATACCTCCCAAGCTCTAGCAGGGGGCCATCTGAGCATCCGATTCCCGTTGGGCCAGAAGGTACAGATTATACATCCTTTCACTTATTTTTTCACAAAATGTTAATGGTTACTTGTGTTCTGGGCGCATACCCTTTGAAAAGCATTATCACTCCTGTATAGTTTTACAATCTGGTTGTTTACTTCATGAACTTCTTCGGCTTACACAGGCTGATTTGATTTATTATCGCCAATATCTGATCTGTTTTTGAAAAGTTGTGCCCCCATTGTCACTATTGATCTTTTTACCTTCCTGCAGGTTGTGCAGGTGAATCTGCCATGAGATGGGAGCACCCTCACTTTCACAGTCAGAATAGACTCCATGCAAACATATCACCAAGTGTGAGAATTTAGAACCATTCCACGTAGATTGGTAAGACACTCCGAAAGTTAATGGTTTCAGCTCTTCGTTCTGCAGTTGTATCGCTTTCATCTGCAACGTGTGGCAATAGTTGTAGAATGTTCCACCTTTGTACTTAAAATTTATCATGGTTTTAGCATCACTGGAGAATGGCTTTTTTATCACTTGGATATTATTCATTTGTAGCTGTTAGTGTAGGATGTTTTTCATTTGGTTCGAGGTACAGTTAATGATCTCAACTCATTCTGTTGCTCAGGCTGATCATTGTCCTCTACGTGACAGTCTACACGCCGTTATCCATCTCAGGCTTCCTGAAGGCCCTGCTCTGAAGCATCACTTCGGCAGTAGATTGATGATTTTGGATAGAAATAGACTGGGTAGGATATCCAGTCATTTCATCTTGGTTTTTTCTCTTCTAGTTTGTCTTTATGTTTCGGTTATTGTTCGTTTCCTGCTTGTGTTCTTGAGTTTTGAATCCTGATATGAAGACGCAAATGTTCCAGTTCTAAGGATATTGTATTGGCTTACAGTCTCTACTCTCAATTTCTGGTCAGGAGATCACAAGGGCATGTAAGTAATGTGTGCGATGTGTGGAGTGGGAACAGGGCTTCTGTGAAATTCCTGATTACTTTTTTATCAAAGTGACTTCTTCCATTGGCACGTGTAGTTTTAGGTATTTCTCGTTCGGTAGACACCTTCAACTGGGTAGTTTTTTTGGATGTCTTGTTGAATTGTAGTATAACAACTGTAGTCAGTTTCATTAGCTTGTTCTGAAACGATTTGATGCTTGCATCGAGAAACTCTTGATCAGTTTCAGTTGGTAGCAAAAAGATTCTCGTCACCAATTTATGATCACTTGAAGGTCTTGAACATAGGTTTTAAGCAGAAACATAGACAGTGTTGTGGAAGTTAAATGAGTGTAGAGTATCCTCGGTAACGTAAGCTTTTCCAACCATATATATTCAGCTGAGAAGCACGTTATCTGCTGGAACTCGTTAACCACTCAATCTATAAATTAACCTAACACTTGTGTGTCTGAAAAGCATCCTTCAGCTGCACTTGGAACAAAATTGACATGAAAGTGGTGATTGTTATCACAAGAATATATTTATTGATTTTTTGTTGAATCAGTTCTTCATAAACTGCAAAGAGTCTTTTCTGAAGATTGTATTGTTTGTAACTTCATGTAAGTTTCTGAAGATAATATTGTTTGTAAGACATTCCCTACGTATCCTCTAAATCTCTAGTTTTGGAGAAACCAAATCGTGTCAGCAGCAAATGACATCTGCAAACTTTTAGACATTAGAAGTGAGCTAACAAATAAGAGCTGAAACTGTATTAAAACATTATTTGATTTACAAGTACAATTTCTCACAATCTCTTCATGTAATTCTTGGGACCAAATTTTTAAAATCTTGTTGGATAACAAGCTGTGAACCAGAATATAATGTATTGCTATTGTAATCATAGTTTTTGCTTTTGCTTGTCACCTTAACTCGTCACCTACTTGATATGTTTTTCTTGTTCATTTAAATTTTTATCCAAAAATTTGTTCAATCAAATGGTTTATAAAGTATTGAACAACAAAAATTTGATTGGTTTGAAAGGTATTAAACAAAGGTGGCATGTAGAGGTTGGGAGATTGTAATGGCAATAGCAATAATTTTGGTGACATAAGTAGTATCTATAATATGTGATGTACAACAAAATTGAGTCAATTATTTAGAAATAGAAATTTGAGCTTCACTTGTTGAAAATTCAATGAATGAATTTTAATATTTCCATTGCCAAAAGATATTATTTCAAGTTTGCTATCTAGCATTCAATTAATATTGACAAATACATAAGTTGTGATTAGAAATTGCTATTTCAGCTCTAACACATGTCATGACTTAGTTTTGCATGCCTCTTGTCATCAAATACAATGAGGTTGAAGAAAAAAAAAATCAACATTGTAAAACTTAGATTCTCATGTATATTTGGACTATACTTTAGTTCAAAGCTCTTTGCATGTTCATTGTGGATCTTGTTTAATAATCATTATATATCTAAATGATCTTTTTGCTAGTGCTAAAATAAACCTTGATAATTCTATTTTTGTAAAGTTATAAGTTGGTAGGTCTACAAAAGATGTAACAAATGAGTTGTAGGTGACTCAACGTCATCTTGCATAAAATGAAAAGCAGAAATTGGACAATTTTTTAGAAGAACTTGCTTGATCTACTATGCATTAAGTTCGGTTTTAGCTCATAAATGTTTCCATGTTGGATCCTTTATTTAATGAATATTTAGTATGTAGTCTCTTATCTCTTTCTCTTGCAAATTATAAGTATTCCATACTATTATGATCAAATTATAAAGTTTATTATAGTATCAGAGCTACTTTTATAAGATTGTTAGAATTCTTGTTCGAAGGTGATTTCTTCAAAGAGTGATTATAGAATAGCAAAGAGCATAATTTGTTTTGTTTTTGTCACACGTTTTATTCTTGTAATCAAAATAGTATAAAAAAGATACAATAATAGATCAAACAATACAATTGAGTCATGCAAAATATATCAATCAAGCTACTCAATTTTTAATCACTACCTTCTAGGGCCAGTGAAGCTTAGATCTAAAGAGTATTATTTCTATAGAAGAGTCAACTACTTCAAAAGAAAGTGTAAAATTAAGGTTCATATTAATATGGCTAAGGATTGGAAGAATCAAATCATTGAAAAGAAGAAGACTTAATAAAACAAAGGTCATTTCAATTAAATAGAAACAAAGCCAAAAAAATCCCATTTGGAACTAAATTATAAGCAACTACTATATAAAAAAGATGATACCTACCAAGTGATAGATGCATACTTCAACCAACTTGAGGTGAATTTAGTAGAATCCACCAACCATGATGTTTCTTGGTACTTAGACTTAAGAGCTTCAAACTACATTGTTGGTGAGAAATCTATTTTTTTCTCCCCAAACAAATTCATAGCTATAGAATCAAAACTGCTAGAGAGTAAGGCTACTCAATCACAAGAGTTGAAAATGTATGAATGAAAACAAGTTTTGATGAAATATTTTATTTTTATTTTTATTTTTATTTAGCATAATTAAAATTTTAATTTCTATTAGTTACATAGCTAATAAAGATCTCACCCTAGAATTTTTTTTTGAAGGATGTTACATCTAAAAATACAAAGTTAACTTACTAATGGCTTATATAATGCATAATAAAAATAATATATTATATATATATTAGATACTAAAATAATCACAAGTGGCAATACAATATAAGCCTACACATGCACCACATAGCCATTTCCAAAGCCACACATTAAATCTCATATCTAACATGTTTAATTATAATCTTTTAATAGATAAGATATATACCATATGATTTCAAACAATGCAATACATGGCATATCTTCTATGCAGCTATCTTCAATTTGTTGCAAGACTTATCTTAAAGGCAAACAAAGTCAAAAACTTTTTATCAAAGTAGTCTAATATCAATTTCCAGTTTTTTGGATCTAATTCATTTTAATATTTGCAGTACATTCAGAACCAAATTCCTAAGAAGAACTTGCTATTTTGTAACTTTCATTAATAATTTCTTCCAAAAAATATGGACCTATTTTATGAGCCACAAAAATAACAAATTAAATAAATTTAAGCTATTCAAAGTTGAAGTCGAAAATGCCACCAAAAAATAGATTTAATCAATGAAAAATAACAATGATAATAAGTATTTTTCAAAGACTTTTATTAATTTTCAAGAAAATTCCGACATTACCAAAGAATTAATATAATCATATAATCCACATCAAAATAATATTGCCAAATGCAAAAATAAATCATTACTTAATATATCAATATCTTTTATTTAAAAAGATATTATCCTCCACCTTATAAGTAGAAGCTGTAAGAATTGCAAATATTATTTTAAACCTTTGTTCGAGTAAAGGTAATTCCAATAAAACAACATATGACTTAGTTTATAATAAAAAATTAAATATCTCTAAACTTTGTATTTTTGGCTTATTCATATATTTTTATATTCTATCTATTAAATATTTGAAGTTGTATTCTTATATCCATGAGTGCATGTTTTTTAGCTATGATAACAAAATAAAAGGATATTGATGCTGTCACTAAAAAAAAGTCATATCATTGTATCAAGTGATGTCAAGATCTTAAAATCACAAACCATGTTGATTCATCTTAAATAAATATCTAAACCTACTATTATGGAAGGACCATCACTACCAACCTCAAGTAGTGAATCAATACCTCATCTCAGCTATCTTAAGAATATTGGTACATTAGCAAACAAACTAAGGAACACACTCTTGGTCTCACCAGATCTACTCACAATTAATTCACCATCTAATCTTTCTATCTTCATACCCTCTATTTTTTCCTTCACTCAATGCTTGGTACATCTAATCTATGGCTTTCAATGTATCTAACAACTTCTAGACTACTTTAATGATTGCAACGTCTTCTTTAAAACCTATGTTACTTTTATTAAGGATTGTGCAAACTTAACATTTCACAAAGCTACTTGCCACTCACATTGATGTATTGTGATTAAATAAAAATATCAATCCATTCAATAGAATTACATTTGAACATTGATTTATTTGCCCTCAAGGAAAATTTTGATTACTTTTTACTAGATATTCAAATTAAAACCAAAAATCAATAATGAATCTATCTAATATAAGGACCAACTAGTTGCTTGCAGTTTCTAGAAAAAATATGATATAAATTATAAAGAGGTACTTGTACATGTCTTTAGATGAAAATCAATTCACATTATAATTGACATTGCAATACATAACAGCTAAGAAATTAACCAAATGGACATCCAAATAGTCTTTTTGAATGAATATCTAAACAAAGAAGTCTATTTAGAATAATTTGAAGGATTTTCCATACTTAGATAAGAATATAAGGTATACCATCTTTATTATATCCTCTATAAGATCAAATGGAGCATAAGAGCTTGATACACTTGTGTAGATCAATATATTTGCTATTACCAACTTAAAGTTTATTTATAAATTTTTGATATTCAATATACATTCATTACAATATGACTCTTCTTTCACCAAATTGATTATGCAAATCAAATTCTTAAGAATTTCAATATGGAAGTATCTTATCCTACATATATTTCTATTGACAAAAGTTTGAAATTTTATAAGGAAACTAATATACTATTTTGTAATGCACGACTTTATTGTGTCATATTAACAAACTCAACTAGCTCACCAAGACTTGCCTAAATATTGCTTTGGCTATTGGAATTTGTAGAAAGTGCACTAAAAATCTACAAAAAGTCTACTTACAAGGGGCTTGTGGAATCCTCCAATATATGTAATAATACCTTTTGCTTGACATCTTCTTGAAAGTTGGAAAAGAAAACCACCTTGTATGATATTTAAAAGTAGTTTATGCATAAGATTCCAATGATTGTATTTCAATCTTAGTTTATATCTTATTTTTAAAAAATACACCCATATTATAGTGATCTTGTAAACAAATATCAATAATATGATTTTTTTGTGAATTAAAATGTTGTATCCTAACAAATTGTACTTATAAAGCCATATGATTTAAGAGACTATTCTAAAAACTTCATATTGGAGGTACTAAACCTAGAAACATTAGATGCAACAATCAAAGTGGAATCAAGATTACACATAATCTAGTCTTTTAATATAAAATCAAATACTTTAAAAAAAATCGGTATTTTACTACATAAAAATATACTTTGAAGAAGTTATGATTGTTTATATTAACACTTAAGAGTAATTTATTGGCATGTTAATAAAGCCATTAGGAAAAATAAAATTTAAAATTAATAGGAAGATTCAACCTACACACTCTAGTTAATATCACCTTCACCAATTAGCTTAAAAATAATTGTATATATTCTTTACTTTCTTCTTTTGTCCTAAAAATTTTAAACTTTGCTATATTAAAATCTTTCATTATTTCTTTATATTCATTCCATATAAAATAGATATGAATACAAAATCTTTTTCTAATGGCATAAAATTTAGTAGCAAGTGGAATATTTAAATCTAA